ATATATTATCGGATATATGATAAGTCATTTTCAGCTCTTCTTTACACTACTACACGAAATACAGCTAGAAATGGATGTCCCTACATATCGGTAAGGGATTCATTGCATCATGGGGCGTGCTTAAGTGTCGAGGCGGATCTTCGAAGGATCAGTGGGCCAAGGGTAGTGTACATGTGATCGCTCCTAGCTCACTCCTTTACCAGGGCTATCCCATGCTGCCAAGTTAAGTTCCACGTTGAGGTTTTCTTGTTTTGGTAGGCGTTACTGCAAGGCTGTAAATATCTGTGCAGATAGACAAGGTATAGACGTAAGATATATCCGAGTGAAGTCATGAGGCCTTCAGCCTTAATGATCCTGGATATATATATTGATTTTCGGTACCAAGTATCTATTCTTTTTTGTCAGGATTTCGTAAGCTGTTAAGTTGATTTGTAGGTAAATGTCAGGAACCCTGGGTTTTATGTAAGCCTCGAAGATCGCTAAAACCATCATCAGAAACTACAGGTTGCTGTTTGTTGTGCAGCTACAGGCATACATTGCGGAAACAGTGGCCACATTTATCGAGCGAGGAGAACAATTTTTTTCTCGTGGGTTAGCCCTTGAACATGCACACATGCGTCCTTTCCCATGAGAATGTCGAGGTCGCTCTCGTAGTCTGTATAAATATGTTTAGCTAACTCAATGCAAATATGCTTTATTATTTGAAAGGTATATCAGGTGACGGAGAAGTTGTATTAGGTGAGATAGTTCTGGACTATGATGGTATGTCTTTGCTGTCTTGTATTGCTACATACATACAATACGTAGCAAGACACTTGGATATCATGATATAGCCAGCCCAACAGGCCAATACGTTTCTTCCAGAGTCGCAACCGAACTAAGTAGATAGGCAGTTTTGCCCATTCGCCATGTAGTTATGAGTTCTCGCTTTCACTGACTGTTGGCTAACCCACATCGACGGCTTCTGTGTGGTCGTTGAGATAGAGCCTTTGATCCCTGTTATATTCACACTCAATGTAGTTATTTTACTGTCGCTCTAAGTATCACGAGGTCATCATAAAAAAAATTAATAGTCATTCTATCAGGTTAGTAGCTGGTAGTGCTAAGCTTCCATTTGGCCAGTTGGCGAACCCCTAAATGCCCAGAAGCGCCTATATAGACCTCATGTCTGGTTTACCTCTTTCAAAATTACCTCGATTAATCTTCAATTGAGTTAGCAAGCCGGGAGTCAAGGTCTTATATACATAATGCCGCTAGCAATAAGAAAAACGCGGGAGATGAAACAAATTTCCAAATCAGAATTCCACAGGCTTGTGGAAGCCTCCGGGATTGGCGATTTTGAGATCTGAAAGTCCCCCATTCCACCCGGAAAGAGTTATTTACATGAAATTTTACTCCATATTACCTGAACAGCTCAGCTTTGCTCTACCTTTTGTGTCGATTGACCTCTCTCATCTTCATATGTGTGTCTTAGACTAGAGGATAGTTGAATGACCTCGTATGAAAGTATGACAACAACACTATTGGGACTTTGGTATGTCTTTCATTCTCTAATCTAGCAAATTCCCTATAAATCGGGACCAGTCTACGGTGCATTCAGCTAAACCCGTTATCCTAAGTCTATTGTCTGACAAGTCATACATTAACAATCTCTCAACCTCGGTTCGTTTGAATGCTTTCAGACAAGACGCTTTTCTTCTCTCCTCACGCCGAAGGTTTGGCATCAATACCACCAACGAGACTCTCCGAGGATATTAGTCGGAGTTGTAGCCCTAGCAAAGGACAAAACGCCGTACCACGCTCGCTGTCACGACCTCTGGATACTGAAGGCAACGTAGGGGTAAGTCTTGAATACTTGTTGTCGCACAAGGAGCTCCAACAACTACATCTGCAAGCTAGAGATCTATATACAAAATGCCCTCTTTGTTCTGTCACTCTAGGGAGGCGGTATGCAGCTGTAGGTATCGCGAGGCTTCGCGAGAGTTTGACACTCGCTATTGATCCGAGAGATACCGAAAGCGTAACTCCATCTTTTAGTTCATAACTACTAGTTTACTATAGAAATGGACACGGAAGGGCTTGATTAAGTCTTTGTTAAGTCCAGCGATAAATATGTAATAAAACAAGCACGAAAAGGTGTAGGAGATAGTTATTAACGCTAGTCTATTCTACATTATCCTATATTTAGCTTCTTGTACAAGTAAGCATGACAGGATTTATCTTAGAGCCTTCCGGACAACAGCTTGTTGCAACATTTCGGAGATTCAGTTCGGATACATTGGAACGGAACACTATCACTGGGGAGTTAACGCTACGGATAAAGATCATAGTTATTATACAGAAGGCTGTGGTGGGGAGCTCGACAACGAGAATTAAAACATGTAGCTATGTGAATCGCTTCCCCGTAGATTAATTATAGATGTTGCCGACCCTGTCCTCTAGTATACGGTTAGTTGCTATCGCAATACACGAGGCCCAGTCCGTGTACAGGTGTTGAGTGGCAAAAGGCATCAAAACTTGGCCAACACCGAATTTTCTACTTGAATTGATATATGGCACTCTCGTGAGAAACAGTACCCCTACGTTCATAGCACATGGTGGGGCACCACACAATTATTATTCTAGAAATGATAACTCCGCCGCGAAAATTAAAGCATATATATGCGTATGTAGCCAGTTGACTTCTAACCGGTTTCTCCCTTTTCACCGTATGCGGCCACTTTGCTGATCCTCCTATGATCCACTAATTTGCCCATGTGGAAAAAGAAAATCGTAGTACAGTCCCATTTCCTTTAATCCACCGTTGAATGCCTCACTGAAGAACTTACTACCTATTGACAAGGAGGCGTTAGTAAAGCTTAGGCATTCCTCTAGGTCTCTCTGAATCCTTGGACGACTTCCCCTCCTTCGATGACAGTAAGTAAATGCACGCAAGCTAGAAGCTTATGAATATCGCCAATCAAACGGCGAACTGACATGACACGACATTAAAATCCCAAAGAGGGCAGATGGCCTCAGCAGTTCAAATAGGGTTAGAGGGTTAAATTCAATGCCTGCCGTGTTGGCTCGCTTAGATTTTGGCCCCCAAGATTCTGGCTGCCCCCAGGCATCCATCCATCTCGATCAGGAAGTGAGGAACACAATACCAAAGAATATTGACCGCCATCTATTTCAGTTTATAGTCATTCAAAAACAACAGGCCATCTTAAGTCGTCACTCACGATGATGTCCGACTCTCATGCGTCTACAAATTTAAATCTCACAAAACAAGTCGCAGGCTATCTTTGAAGATTGATGTCTCTACATTTCTAACTATCGCGTCAATCAATGGTACAACATTAGGATTCATGGCCCCACCGGTAACTCTGGTCCCTTCAATACTGCTGGTAGCACTTGGAATTCTTTCAGTAGCTTTGCGGTTTTATACGCGGATCTTTGCGCGCCAGTCCATCAAATGGGATGATTGGTTACTGGTCTTGGCCTTGATTGCAGAGATAGTTGCCATCGCGATCGCTGCTATTGGTATGCATATCCTCAAACGTCAACTACTTCTACCCTCTAGAACCTATAGCACACTAATTCAAACGAAGGTGCTGTCGGAGATCCGAATGGGTTCACAAACACCCAAAACTTTAGCCCTGATTATGTCGACACCCCTCAGGATATGTTCTTTCTGAGAACAAACTTCGCCGCAACTGCCATATACTTCACAATCAATGGCGCGGTCAAATCGAGCGTTTTATTTATGTACTACAGGATTTTCCAAGTCGAGCCGGCGTTCAGATACCAATTGTTTATCACAGCTGGCCTGGTTCTCGGGTGGTGGATTGGGAGCACGGTGGCCACGCTTACCTCTTGCATTCCTATGGATAAGTATTGGACTAATAATATCTTGGATCCTGAACATTGCTTCAACTTTAATATTTTCTGGGTCGTGTCAGGTGCCATCGAGGTTTTCCTGGACGCGCTTATTCTAACACTCCCAATCCGGGCAGTGCTAGCATTGAATCTTTCCTGGAGGCGGAAAATCATCATCTCAGGTATCTTCTTTCTAGGTGGATTGTGAGTTGGTGCTTCGCTTCCCTTGCTCCATCTCCCTTTCCCCTCAGAAGTGACGCTTTACTAATATCTGTAGTGTGCTCGTTACGGGAATTATCAAAGTCGTCCTTGGTTATTCATCTGGGAGTCAACGGCCTTCTGAGGGCGCTGAGTTGTGGACCATAGTCCACAGTGGTGTAGGGACCATTTCTGCCTGCTTGCCTACGTACAACCCACTACTTCAACGCATCTTGGGATCGTCTCTCATTACAAAGCTCTCGAGTTTGTTCTCGAAGCCGGGAAATCTCGTGATTAGCGAAGGAGTTGCGACAAGGGGCCCTTCAAATGACATATCGTTAGAGGGAGGTAATATCAGCACTAACTTGAAGCCAATGGCCGACGCTACTCATGTACATCAGACATAAATCAGATCGCTTATATGGTGTTGAGGATTCGGAACTATATTGGCCCGCTCCGTCAATTATATATGAGTTCGGTATAGGTCTCGGACCTCACCCACACTGAGCTCCGTCACAATATAAATGAATGTGCCAACCACAACCTCACTTTGTACAAGACAAACCAATCTTCTCGGCGACTGCACCCCGAATACAATATCCGAGCTATAATTGATATTCTGCATAGTAACACAGGAGTCAACTGGACGAGTCCCCGATATATTGAAGACAGGATCGCCGAGTTGCGCTGCTAGTTCCATACATCTAGGTCAACTTATCCCTGGTAACTGGCAATGTTAGGCATATATATTTACCTCCATGTGTAACACCCCGAAGGAAAAAGCCCAAAATTTCATGATGTGGCTCCCTGACATCACACCATAATCAGCCACCAACAAACTGCTTACACCCGGGGGACTTTCCCGTACATTCACAGCTGGGAAACAAAGTCTTACCAACTCGCTAAAATAGGACGCCAAAAGAAAAAGCTGAAGCTGATAATCACTCCCCCGGACAGGCTTGAACTGTCAACCTCTCGATACCCTGTCGTTGTAACAGTCGAACGCGCTAGCCAATTGCGCCACGGAGGACTACGGGAAGTAGCGCGATGTTAAAATCTTCCAGGTGTCTAATACTGCAAGGGAGCATTCGACGCCCGATCAAGATGTAACATGCAATCTTGTGACTTGGAGGACTGCTGCTCCTATCCCTATTTCGTAAACAGGCAGCCCGCAAAGTACGAAAATGTAGCTTTATGGTAAGATGACGGGGAATCGCACTAATGTAGAGCGTGCAGGAACAATGGGGTACGTCTGATGGCTCCGTAAGCTCACTGCCCTGCTTACACAGCATTCAGCTTCTTGTTGGTGGCCTCGGAGGGCAAGGGCAACCCACTCGGGTCATCTTATAAAAGGTAATTGCTTTCCATGTTTGAAACGAAATCCGATTCCAGGCTTCTTGATCGTCTCTACTTTCAAAGTAATTGGCGTGCAGATTATATACCAAAATGGATAAACAGTATGATGACTCGGCCTTCTCGGAACGACGAGCAGTAAGGCCACTGTCGGTGATCGTAGTGGGTGCGGGCATAGGCGGGCTTGCTCTTGGATATCTTATGCAGAGGACGGGACACAATGTCGGGTAAGTTGTCTCAAGTGTCATTCTCTTGTCGGGTGGAAAATCATGTGAAGGTCCTCACCCTTTTGGAATGAAACTCTTGTAATAACGATCACTGACGTCGAGTATTATAGTGAGTGTTCTTCCCTTTTGCTATGCCAATTTGGGGATCGAGACCTTTGGTACGGCTAGATCTACGTATTGGCCTTTTAGTATCAATCTATATATAACCTTTACCCAGAGAATAAAACTAGCTGACCCTAGTGCTAAAGTCATATTGGAAAGAAGAATGGAAATTGCTGAAGTTGGGGCTGGTCTGCAACTCGCTCCAAATTGCTTGAGAATTTTACGCAGGTTTGGTCTTCTTGACGAAACGATGAAACATGCTACTGTGCTGGAGCGAAATAGTTTAAGGCAAGTATACGCAGGAAACGTTCTAAACTCACTCGTCAACGTGTTTATCTTCGATCGGAAGTTTATTGACTTCGTTTAGACGGTGGAAGGATGATGAAGAACTGGGATCTGTCCCCTTAATCCCAGATGTTGAGGACCATTTCGGCGCACCACTTGCGGTTATCCATAGAGCCGATTTACAGCGCATATTGTACGATGCTGCGATACGATCTGGGTGCAAGATCCTGAAAGATCATGAGGTTATCGATGTTGACCAAGAATTTCTGCCGGTATGGCACCTATCTTTCCGCTCGTGGTATTTCCTAGATCGCAGACAGAATCTTGAAAAAAATGAAGAAAGACTAATTAGCATCCACTCTAGTGCGTGATCCTCCTCCGGATTTCATTATTGTGATGTCTCCCATATCTCTAGGGGCATTCTTCAAGGCGAAGGCTGCTTAAAGAAGGACTAACACCGTGCTAGACGAGTCCATGTGCGCATTCATGGGTTAAGAGACACATGGATGTCGGCAGACCTAGTCTTGGCAGCTGATGGAATGAACTCGATTGTTCGAAAGCGACTAGCTGCCGCAGGTGGCTACGTCGATCAACTTGTTCCAATGTAAGTAATCGTCATTCGTCCTCCCGTAGACCAGACCTTTTCAAACTGTGATTTCATCTTCTAGAAGTCCAGTATGTTGCGAGACACTTAACGACGAACTAAACTTCAAACGTTGATAGCTAACTCTGAGTTGCAGCCGGGAGTCGGCGTATAGATTCGTGCTACCTAAGGAGCTGGTTAAACATGATGAAACGATAATGAATCTCCTTAACAAGAACCAAGGCATGCGGTATTTGGGACCTGGCGGTCACATCATGGCCTATCCTCTTAGAAACAACACCCTATACAATGTGGTTCTGGTGCGTGCTGCCGACGGCGAGATATCGAACAAAACGTCCTGGACAACATATGGCAAAAAGGAGAAGATCCTCGAATGCTATCGTGAATGGTGTCCCCTAGTTCGGGCTTTAATCAGTCATGTACCCAGCTCCGGGTTATTGGAAACTCCTATGAGCAATATGCTTCCTCTTCCGACATGGAAAAGAGGGAAGATAGCTTTGGCCGGTGATGCGTGTCGTGAGTCCCTTCTCCTCTTGTTCAGTTGCCTCAGTTATTCGGTATCAAGCTTCCACTATGTGTAGGAAGCACTAACCCCCGATTCCCTTAGATTACATGCTGCCGTATGTCGCACAAGGAGCAGCTAATGCAATAGAAGACGCCGGGACTCTAGCTATGGCTTTCACCTGTACGGATCGGATTGAACTAGCTCTTGAGCTGTATCAGTTGGTCAGGAAAGACCGTAGCGAACGGATTCAAGCCAGCGCCGGGAACAACGGCCGCACGTTGCATTTGCCAGACGGAGAGGAACAAAGAAGAAGAGACGAATCAATTAGATCTGCTAGTCGAGGAATGAGCACAGCAAATCCGGATCAATGGAGTGACAGAGAAAACCGTGAGTTTATGTGGAATGTGGATGTAATGGCAGAGACGATCAAGAAATTTGAGTCTCTAGCGCAAGAGACGGGCGTTACGGGGTGAAGTGTGCCTCCAAGTTAGCGCTGTTAGGAATTGAGCCTGGACATCCTTATAAGTCCAGCTCGAGTGAAGATATCTGAGGACGGCGGCGTGTAGAAAACGCATAGATTATGAGCTATGGCAAATGACTGTTGTACCCTCTCTGAATCAATCGTTGTGCTGCCTCCCAGACTTCATGTGGAATGTCCTGGTGAATCTGAAAGCCCTTAGCCGGGTACTCACGAATCCGAATCAGGTCGCCAACTGCGATATTAATGACTAAATCTGTCGGGTTATCCTCATTCGGATAGTCCTTCCAGCTCAATAGTGGCGATGTCACGAATATTTCAGTTGTTTCATCGGGCCACTGCTTTTTAAACGTTGCGTATGTTCGGCGCTCCATGTAGGGTTTCTGAACCAGAATGAACGAGCGTATAGACAGCTGCTTTTCTTGGAGGACAGCGTACGTAAAGCGGACATTCTCGCCAGTATTGGTCGATTCGGGCTCAACTATAAGCTTCGTTGTGGGAACTCCCATTTGACGAGCGATGTCTGCGAAGGCTTCGGCTTCGGGCTTGTTGAAGCGACCGTGAGTGAGCTTACCCGACCCTCCAGAGAAGATGAGATAGTCGCCATAGCCGCCGAGAAATAATTGAGCGGCTCGTTCCGCCACCCGCGTGTCGAGACTACACAAGCAGAAAATGGCATCCGCCTTCCGATCGATAGTTGTGTGCAGCCGGTGATATTCGTACAACGTTTCGGCATCCTGCTGCACGTCTGGCAGAGCTGCTGCTAAATCCGCTGACATTTCCTCCGACTCTGGCACAAAATGATTGTAGAGCCTAGACAGAGAGCTAGTTCACTAACCCTTGTCGACTACAGCACACTCCACGAGGTTACGTATCACTCCCCAAAGACCAAGCTGATTTCATCTGATAAGAATGAGAGCGGACCCTACCGACAATGCTGCGCGGGATCGCGCACCACCCCCATGACCTGACCAGAAAGCTTGGCTGCATTTGCTGGCCTGTAACAACGCACAGAGAGCGAGATCAGTACGCGTTGACCCCACGGAGATAATCCACAAGGTACCTGGGTATTCAAGTAATCAATCTGATAAGATCTTCAAGACCCTCAGGTAACTGGAGCTAGACTTTCTCCTTCGATATTTCGGAAGTGACAGACCAAGCGAGTTCGTTCGTTATGTCGCAATGACGCCAGGACTTAGCACCAGCGACAGAGAATGGGCACTTGATGCTTTCCGTCAAAGTCTTAGGACATCCCAGCTTGCATCTTCTATCCAAATCAGCACAGCTTCTAAGTTACCGTTGGATGACCCAGAGAAACTAGAGTACCTACGAGAATTAATTCAATACATCCTCGATGGTCGCACCATTATCGCCTCGTATAACTTGGTTCTTCTAATTGTCCTTCTTGTTTTTACCATATCTCATTTTTATCAAGGATACGCACAAAGTCGTAAAAGGGCGGTCATTGAGGGAGACCTCGCCAGCGCCGGCGGTGATGCAGTTCCCGAGACAGCCGAAGACGGCGAACACGATGCAGGCTCCTCTTCTAGCAGCACCCTAGAAGGCTCGCTATCGTCACGAACCACCTATCTCAAGGACACCGATGTCGACATTGAGCGGCAGCCACTATTGCTTGGGGTTCGGCAGGACCGGCCAAGCCGACCGAAACCCAGTGTATTTGCCATCGTTCGTTCATGGCTGATGTACCAGCCACGGCCGATACCATTCATCAACCGGTCGCTCCCCTCGAATGCGACATCGTTCTTCGTGGCCGGGTACTACGGTCTCAATATCTTTGTCCATCTCTTCAAGCTTCCTTTCGAGCTGAGACATTTTTTCGCGTTCGCCGATCGCGCAGGATACGTATTCATAGTGAACCTGCCACTCCTGTACCTCCTCGCAGCCAAGAATCAGCCCCTGAAATTGCTCACGGGTCGCTCGTACGAGGCACTCAATATCTACCATCGCCGAGTGGGCGAGTTAATGTGCTTCGAGGCGCTCGTTCACTTCGCCGGTATGCTGATTTGGAGGCTGATCCTTGAACCTGAGTGGCTTGCTACCGAAAGCCTCTGGCATTATTTCACGCATCCCTTAATCCTTCTAGGGATAGGTGCATTCGTGTCGTATGAATTGCTTTACTTCACATCGCTTGGCAGTTTCCGCGAGAGATGGTATGAGTTGTTTCTCGCCTCTCACGTTCTTTTGCAGATCGCCGCCCTCATATTCCTCTGGCTGCACTTCTTCACCAGTCGGCCGTACGTTTTGGCATCGTTGGTAATCTTCGTTCTAGATAGGATTGTGTGGAGGATAGGATTGAAATCGACTGTTGTTACTGCTGACGTCGAGGTTCTCGAAGACGGCGAAACGGTGTTGCTCTCGGCTAATTGGGATTTGACCCGGGTGGAAGGGCAGAAGCCGCTTTGGCGGTCTTTTGGTCGCAACATCCTGCGTGGCTGGCGCCCGGCCGACCATGTTT